CCACGCCCTTTCGCGTCTGCACCACGGCCTCGCGCCAGCCCCGTTCCCTATCTATTCACGCCCCCGTGCTCTCTGCACCGCGGCGGCGTTCCGCGAGTAACACAGCGTAGCTTACGTGTCCGCCACTAGCATTCAATCTAAGTTCCCCGGGCTAGCCTGGCGAATTCAACCCAGCATACGTCTCCGCCCCACGGTTTGGCTTCCCGTCCTTTGCTACCCGGGCTAATCAGACGGATCCCAATCTGGCTTACGTTTCAGCTTCTGGTTTCAACTTTTCGCCCCCCATTCCCGGGCTAACTTGAGAATCCCAAAGTGGCTTTCGTATCCGCCTCAGCCTGCCCCCCGTGGCTTCAATTTCCCTAACACTTTTCTCTACCCGGTATGTTTCCCCAAGCTTTCCTCCAACAATATTCCTCCCTCATTTCTCCTGGCCTCTCCCCACAGTCCGCGTCTGAGTCTGTTTGTTCTAGCTTTCACTTTCGCTTTCGACCTTAGAGATTTCTCCCAGCTTCCCCCCGTAGTCCGTATCCGAGTCTATGCCTAGGCTTTCAATAGCTCCTTCCGGCTCCTTTTTCGTCCGGCTTTTCCCTAGGCTGTTTGCTAGTCTCTCTCTCCGATATTTTCCCTAGGCTGTTTGCTAGTTTCTCTCTCCGATATTTTCCCTAGTTCTTCCCGTTTCTTCCCTCCTAGGTTTCCTATCCGAGTCACGGCACCACTATGTCGCTCCCCCTCTTCGTGGAGGAACGACACTAAACCCTGCCTAGGCTTCATATCCGAGTCACGGCACCATTATGTCGCTCCCCCTCTTCGTGGAGGAACGACACAGGACCCTGCGCTGTTCTTTCGTCTGCTCGGCCCTCCCCGGGTTTGCTGCTGGTTCTTCCCGGGTTGGCTACTATCCCTTCCACCTCCGTGGAAGGGCAGTTCCCCCTGGCCACATTCCCCACTTCCGCAGGGGAGCGGCACACCGCCGGCCGGTTCTCTCGGGGGCTGCACGGGTTCCCTTAGATGTTCCCCATAGATGTTCCCCATAGATGTTCCCCATAGATGTTCCTGGTGCATGCCGTCTCTCTCCTCCTTTATAGTCCTCCTCCGCCAATCCCAACTCGGCTGCCCACACGCCGAGTACGCTGCTCTCCAATCAGGAGCAAGTCCTACAGTTAATTGGTTGAACTGGAGGCAGCTGTGCGGAAGCTGTTTACTTCTCTCCCAGCGCCATATTGTGGGAGAGTAGATGCATAGAATAAGTCTTAATTCCAGTAACTCAGTCTAGTCCGGTTGCTCCCCACAGAAAGCAGCAAGGTGGCTCAAGTGCCCAGGCCCTGCCACTTACCTGGGAGACCCAGATGGAGTTTTGGCTCTTGACTTTGGCCTACCCTAGCCCTGGCCATTGTAGCCACATGGAGAGTTAACTAGCAAATGGAAGATCTCCTCCCACCCCCTGCCCTCCCCAGAACTCTTCCAAAGAAATAAATAAATTTTTTAAAGGCACACTGAATACCAGCACTAAACTCCTTTGTTCCAAATATTCTAGAAATATTGGATATTAAACTTAAAATGTTTTAACACATTAAAATCCTTTCACTCATTCTGGGTCAATGCTTAAAGAAATAGGCCATTGTGGTCTATGATTTTTTCACTGCTACGAGACTTTGGAATTGTACCACAGAGTTGATATTAAGTACACAGAGCTGTAAGACTTAAAAACTGACAACTAGTGTAAACACAATTAGATACTTGGCATCTCAGCCACAGTGGGCCCAGGGAGTTCAATTTCCACTTGGTCCAATTCAATGACTAATACTGAGAATCCGCCACAGGCAAGGGGCAGGGGTGACTTTAAACACAAGTCCTCATAAAGGCATCGGCATGTCACCATCTTGGTTTACAGACCTGGGCCTCCACGAGAGCCAGCCGCCAAATGCTCACGCAATGTTCAGTGAGGACCAAGGGACCCCAGTGCAGAGCGGAGCCCCTACAAGGAGCTCCTGCTAAATGAGATCACTTCCCTGAAGTCCACCTCGCTTCTTCAAAACCAGGAAGTAAAGACCATTTTACAATGTCTTATAGTGGAAAGTTAAGGGGGGGAAAAAAACCAGCAACACTCACTCTGTCTTGCTTACATTGCCTGCTATGATTAAAACAAGTTCTTGGAAAAGGACTATCTCTGTGGGTGTGTTTTGCAGACAAGTCTTACACGTATGCATGGTTTAAACTAAAACAACACCATTCCCACCGCACCCTGCTGAGTGTGTGCATGTCTGCCCCGCACAGGCTGTCTTTTCCGCCCGACTACGTAAGAACTCACTTGCCAGGCACACTTCTAGGCCCAGGCATCACAAATATCGCCCCGGGCACAGGGCCACGCCAGGCCCCCGTCCCGCTGCCTGTGTCACTAACCTTCAATGCCTCAGTTTCTCCCACCTGGAAAGATAGAAAGCAGGACTTTCTCTCCCAGAAAACCTAAGCAGGAGGAAAATGGAGATTAATTACAGAGCCCCTCTAAAGAGATGTGAGTTCCTTGTGGGGAAGAACTACATAAACAGAAGAGGTAATTACCACCACTCCAACAGAAAAGCAGAACTAAGGCAAATCTCCTAACACTGATGAAATTAAATCACTGGCAATTTATTTTGCGTAGCAGAAAACAAACTGATAGGTCAGCAAATCAAATTAAAGCAAAAGCACAAAGTACTTCATGCTCTCATCTAAATCTCTTAGTCATCAAACACAATAAAGGCCCAGCATGGAGTCAGCACCTCTTTCTATGCTGTCTTTCACTTCAGGGCCACAGTAACACCCCGGCTGTTCACGATTCTGCCTGAACTCACTGCCCTTTCTTCAATGCACAAGGCGGAAATGCAGAAACTCCAGAGCACCCCCACAAGGAGGTAGCTACCTGAGCAGTCCCAGCAGCTCAGAATGGACAATGCGTTGCTATTTAACCATATAAGCTACACAAACAGAAAGGCCTACCTTAACCCCCATTCTGAGTTCATGGCTTTCCTTTTCTGTCACTTTAACGTGAATCCAAAGCTAACAGGAACCTATGAAAGCTGACATTTCTTGAGTACCTACTATGTGCTGCTACCCACCAGCCACCACGTCGGGGCCCTCGAGCTCAGTCAGCCCTCACAACAGGCCGGTCCCAAGCCCTTGCTCAGAGAAAGGGCACCGCAGGCTCAGAAAACTTTAGTTTCACCACAAAAGGTGCTACTGGTTGGGTCAACATCATGGATTCTTCAAGAACACGCGTGAAACAAATTCCTTCCAGACTGCTTCAACGAAAACCACTGCCAAACGTGCTCTACACGTTGATGCACACTCCCCTGACGTAACAAAAGGAATCGCAGGCAGACACCTCAAAGGGACACACCTGTGCACTACTGCGCAGTCACAGCACAACGTAAGCTTCCTGAACCGAACTTGTAGGAATTACACCTTCAAACCACGTGCAGAGAAAGCTGCTAATGCGACAGCAGTGTGGGTTTTGCGTGTTGCACAGCGTCAGTGTGTGTCTTGCCCAGCCCCAGACTGGAGGCATGACGTCACCCCCCTACAACCACTAAAGTCAGTGATTCGCCAACTGGAAGAGGAGTAAGAACTTGTTTAGGGACTGGCGCTGTGGCGCGGCAGGTTAAGCTACCATCTGCAGTGCCGGCATCCCATATGGGTGCTAGTTCGAGTCCCAGCTGCTCCACTTCCGATCCAGCTCCCTGCTAATGCACCTGGGAAAGCAATGGAAAATGGCCCAAATGCTTGGGCCCCTGCACCCCCGTGGGAGACCTGAAAGAAGCTCCTGATTCCTAGCTCTGGCCTGGCCCAGCCCCGGCCATTGTGGCCTTTTGGGAAGTGAACCAGCAGATGGAAGCACTCTCGCACTCGCTCTCGCTCGCTCTCTGTAATTCTGACTTCCAAATAAAATAAATAATTTTTTTTAAAAAAGACCTTGTTTAAGTGATCTGCTTCACTGTTGTTTAGTTTCAATGATTTCTGCTGACTTGTTTTGCCTAAGTGTCATTTTACTGAATCTTATCAAATCATTTAAACACACACACACACACACACACACACACACACACTCATACACAGAAAAGGCCCCGTCACTGGTCACTAACCCTAACCCTAACCCTAACCCACACACTAGATTCCGCATTAGCTGAAGAAGTTCAAACATCTGCCCGTAGAATCTTTTCTGAAGGAAATGTGACCGCGAAGGTACCTTGGCGTTGAGGGGACACACGGACAGGGCACTTCCGAAAAGCTGATCCTCACTGCGCCACTCGCTGCTTCGGGTCACGCACCGCAGCACGTTGGTGACCAAAATCCCCAGGACCACGGCAGCAATGAGTTTCTGAGAGAGAGAGAGAGAGAACGAGCGTGTGTGTGTGCAACGTGCAGACAGCATCGGCGAGCTGTGCCCGGTCCTTCTGGGGTGCACACACACCAAGCCTGCTGGATACCTTTTTCTTGGTCTGTCTGCTCAGGGCTCCAAACCCGCAAGTCAGCAGCACGCAGTAGCCCACGCTGGGAAGGTAGAGGACCCGCTCTGCAACCACGAAGCCCACGCGGAAGAAGAGGTTACTCGCAGGCAGGAACGGGATGATGAGAAACCCCAGGCCCAGGGTGAGGATCCTGAGAACCGAAAGGGTGCAGGCACAGGGGTGTTTTCAGATGTCTCAAAGCCACAGTCCCACCCGACACTGCGCTCACGACGAAGACCTTTGTGTTTCATGCCACCAACTTAGGAAAGGCCGCACTGTCGGCACAAAAATGTCACTGGGAGAGAGGATCTGGCCTGCGTGCCAGCACAGGGGCAACACCCAAAAATACAAGTCACTGGTCCTCAAGTGTAAGGAAAAAGCGCACATGCAATTCACATCAATAACACTCACATGATTATATCTGTGGGGGCTGATCGATGCACCTGCTCCAACCACTCAGTGCGAATCAGTCCCAATTAGCTCAATGGGGTCTTCAGGGAACTCCCCTACCCCTAACCAGACTTAACAGGAATCGGAATTTCTTAACCAGTTTAATTGTCAGCAAGTCCGAATGTCAGAAACCATTTTCGGTTCTGTATCACTGCAAATTTCAGAGAGACGGCTGAGCACTGACAGACTTCTAGAACCAGTGGGTGATTTCCGGCGTCCCCCATGATGCAGGACCATGAATGAGGAAACTAGGCCAAATTTGGTGTCTCTGTGCCCGCTGTGCCTACAGCATTTTTTTTCAGGTCTCTTTCACATGTCTAAGTGAGCTGGAACTAAAGTTTGTTGGTCTTTAGAATGACTAGCCATTTTAGACACAGGTGAACTTAAAATCTGATTTATTTTGACAAATTACTAATCTAATTCCATAAACACACGCTTAGAAGAAATCATCTTAAACAGTTTTCGTGAAACACATTTGTTTTTCCCAATTACTTTCTCAATAACTTTTTTTTTCCACCCAGGAAGAACAGTCTCTTTGGACAGCAGCCCATTTTGTACCCAACAATAACAGGAGGAACCGTGACAGCAGTCACCAGGGTTTTTTGAAGAATTGTGCAATAATGGGCACAACACACATCAATTACATTCTCTGTTCTGACCACAAATTACTCTTTACCACCCATTGCGAAAAGGATCTCAAAATGCTACTTCTGGGGAAAGGGGAGGGGGAGGTAACTCAGTCATCCATGCCCCCTCCTGCACGCCCCCTCCCCACTAGTGGAAGCCAGCAATGGGTCCCGAATGGATGGAACGCATCCTGGCCATAAATATGGATTTGAAGGCAACGTCCTTGGACAGCACCTCCACAAAATCGTCAGAGTGATGAGTGCTGGACTGAGCAAAATGCTTCCGACCACACCCAGGGAGGAAGTTAAAATCCAGCGCTGCCGCTTACCTTCTCCTGTGGCTGTCTTCAGAGCACAGGGCTTGGTGTATCAGGCCAATTAGGCAGAGCCAGAGTGCAGCCAGTGCAATTACCCTCCAGTCACCGAAGGACTTAATGAGGGGGATGCAGCCCATTGACCAATCAAAACACAGCCACCAGGGACACAGCAGCAGCCAGGCGTTCAATGAATAGTAGTAATTATAGTTTATGGCCTGTCAGTCGAAAGGAAAACAAACATTTATTTGGTAACGGATTTGAAAATACATATATATACACACATATGTATGTAATACATATACATACATATATATATATACACACGTGTGTGTGTGTGTGTGTGTGTGTGTGTATCCTAGCTTCACTTTTGAGGCATTTATACACTTCTGTTCAAGGAGAGTAGCTCTATAAAATACAACACAGGGGCCAACGCTGTGGCATAGCAGGTAAAGCCACCACCTGTAGCACCGGCATTCCATACAGGCACTGGTTCTAGTCCTGGCTGCTCCCTTTCCATCCAGCTCTCTGCTATGGCCTAGGAAAGCAGTAGAAGATGGCCCAAGTTCTTGGGCTCCTGCACCCGCGTGGGAGACCCAGAAGAACTTCCTGGCTCCAGATCAGTCCAGCTCTGGCTGTTGTGGGCATTTGGGGAGTGAACCAGCAGACGGGAAACCTCTCTCTCTCCCTCTCACTGTCTGTAACTCTACCTCTCAAAAAAAAAAAAAAAAAAAAAAAAAGAAAAAAAAACCTCTTTAAAAATTAAGTAAAATACTATGTAGCCACTCTGGATCCTGGGCATGGGACTGTAGGTGCTAACTTATTAAATGCATTCAGATTTCAGTAAACACAAATACAGCACAGCTCCCAGACGAGGTACTACCTTTGCTCTATTTCTGGCCAAGCTCTGAGTCACTTAGTGGTGCCGAAAGCCCGTGCAGGAGGTCCGAGGTTCAGGGGTCACCTATGTGCCCAACGACACAGGGACAGGGTTCTGGGGCTGTCTCTTGGATTTCTCTATGAGTGCACAGCTAACATCGCAGCTTGCCAAAAAGGCAAACCTAAAAAAGAGTCTTGACTATTAGACTAGAGCCAGCATTGTCAGACTTTTAAAAATATCTCCAGGAGGGTTCAATCCAGCCTTCATGATCAGAGAAAACAGGATCAGGGCAAGGAACTTGACGTTAAAGGGAATCATACTCTAATTTTAAAAAGACACACACTTGGCTCTCCATATTTGCTGGTTCTGTATCTAAAGAATAGAAAATACTGGGGAGTGGGGCCGGCACTATGGCATAGAAGGTAAGGCTGTTCTGAGTCCTGGCTGTTCCACTTCCCATCCGGCTCCATGCTAATGCAGCCTGGAAAGCAGCAGAAGGCAGCCCAAGTCCTTGGGCCCCTGCACCCACACGGGAGACCTAGAAGAAGCTCCTGGCTCTTGGCTTCAGATTGCCCCAGCTCTGGCCATTGTGGTCACTTGCGGGAGTGAACTGGTGGATGGAAGATGTCACTTGCTCTATCGGTAACTATGCATTTCAAAAAATAAATAAATAAATCTTTTAAAAAATATATAGGGGGAGAATTACAGGAAGTTCCCCAAAGCAAGCCTGGGTTTGCCCTGCACTATGCACTGTGCTGAATGGCAGTGACTGAAGTGACGTGGGGGCATTGCCTCAGCTATCGGAAGAACCTGGGGGTGGGTAAAAACCTGGGTGGGAACTTGGCGTCCACAGGAGTCCCGGGACCAGCCCTCCGTGACGGATGCTCAGGCAGCTCACACGGGTCGCGTCATGTGTGTCCATGCTTGCTATGGAATGGCTTTAGCAACAGCAAACAAGTACGGCGGTATCCCAGGCATTGGAGGTGATGGGGAGTGCGCCGTCCACGACAGATGAAGGGTCTGGGAATCTGGGGAAGGGGAGCAATCTTCCAAAGGAGACCAGGCTCAGAACTCACCCTGACCCACACACTGTCGGCAAAGGAGGCCGGATTGTCCACCTCGGTGAAGGCAGGCGGGCCCGTGCCCATGATTTTCCAGCGCACGTAGAGCACGGCGGCCCCTCCAGAGATGAGAAGCGCCATGCGGAAGAGCAGGGCCCCGTTCCTGAGTACGCTGATGCTCTGCAAGGACAGCACAGCACACAGTCCCCAATGCCACACAGCTCCCGCTGAAAGCGTGGCTACGTCTGCTACCAACGCAGAGCGACTCTGCCTGGACCACTCTCTCACTGTGCATGCAGGGGCTGGCTACTTCACAATTCAGAAAGCATAATGAAAATGGCACTCCAAGGCGGCTGGTACTTGACATTTCCCACGGCTGGGCTGGACACACAAGCAAATACTCACCCCTAACGACTTGTCCTTATGCAGTACCTTGTGGACAATTTCTAGAACATTGAATTTGCCGATCACCAAGATGTCAAACACCGCGTTCAAACCCTAAGGAAACAAAGCCAGACAATCACGGCTGGGAGAACGTAGCTCCGATTGGGCAGCAAACGCACCCCACCTTTGCAGCACTGAATCGAGACAGGAAATGAGATGGATAATCACAGATTTCTCCAGGTCTTAAAAAAAGAACTCATCGCCTCTATGAAATGCTTGGTTCACGGTAGTATATTAGACCACAGTAATGATTTCACAGCCTGCATGTGGAGGCACTTCAAGTGGGCCAGCATTGTGGTGCAGCGGGTTAAGCTTCCGCCTGCAGCGTGCGAATCCCATAAGGGTGCCTGTTTGAGTCCTGCCTGCTCCACTTCTGATCCAGCTCCCTGCTAATGTTCCTGGGAAAGCAGTGGAAGATGGCCCAAGTGCTTAAGTCCCTTCCATTCATGTGGGAGACATAAATGGAATTCCAGGCCCCTGGCTTCAGCCTGGCCCAGCCTCGGCCACTGTGGCCATATGGGGAAGGAACCAGCAGATGGAAGTTCTGTGTCTGTCTCTCTGTAACTCTGCCTTTCAAATAAATTAAACTTTTTTTTTTTTTAAAGTAGTACTTTAAAATGCAGGTCAGCTAGGAATTTGGGATTCCCAGGCACAGTTGCCCCTTTCCCCATCACTGGAACATGGTCCTTGAGTTGACACAACACAGCCGCTCCCTGGGCAATCATTATGCCCCAACCGTACAGAGCCAGCCACAGCCAGGCAGAGACAAGTGCTGGCTGAATGTGGCCCAGTGAGGAGCAGCCTGGGTGTTCTCCCAGGTCCAGGGTCCCAGTCGCCCCCTAGTCTTCTCCCCAGCACACAGTCAGACCACATCTCCCAGCCTCCTCTGCGGGGACACAGGAGCTGAGGCTTGGGACTAGCCCAGGAGCCTGGCAGAAGTGACCTGGGTGCCCTTTGGAGGTCTGGGCGTAGAAGCTAGACAATCCTCGGCCCACCCCTCCGGCTGGGTGGCATGAAGATGCCCTGGGCCACTCTGGGAGCCAGGCCGAGGACAGCAGGGCCTCCACTGGCCCAGGCTGTCTGCCGTGGCACAGAGAAGGGCTGCATTTGCAGCTAGTGGAGGGACAGCTGACGGCAAAGCAGCCTTAGGTTTTTCTCGCTGCCTGTCCTGGGCTTTCTACCAAGGCTGCCGGCAGTGATGTCATCCAGCAGAGCCCCTGGGTCCACGCTGGATGAGACGGTCTCCGTGGCCCGGTGCACACAGTTAAGGCTGCCCCGGAATGACTTGGGTCTTTTTAGCATGGGGCTTTGCAGCACAGAAGATCATAAATCATCAGAAGTCAGGGTTAATGTGTGGTTTTCAGAGAGCGGCTGACATCCCTGCGTAACCCTCTCCCGTAAGCGCTGCAGCCACTAATTATCGCGTCCACGGGCCAGCACTGGGTCCATCATTTCAGAGGATCCTGATGCTATTCGCCCGTGTGGGTCACAGAGCAGCACATCTGCCGGGCTGCAAACCAGCGCTAGAAAGCAGAGGCGCCCTGTTGAGCTGCCCCGCCTTTTCAGGCCGTTTGTTTTGCTGCCTGTGAGCTACTGGACAGTCACCCAGGGGTGACAGAGTCGCGTGATTATGATGACTGGGCTGAATATAACACTGACATTTTCTCCTCCTTCTCACTGAAACACATCATCAAAATGTCCACATTTAATAAAATGTCTGAAAACAGCTAGAGTTCATGGTATCACGTAAACCTAACCTAATCCTGCAGTGCTGATAAAACGCTACTGATCGGGGACTCACTAGAGACTGGGACCCAGCAGGCCCGGGTTGGGGCTGGGGTCCTGACCACCTAACAGGCTCCCAGCCACTGCTGCTCCTCACGATGTCCTTTCTGTGGGGGTCACGCTTTGGTTCTCAACACGACTCACGTCAGCAAATGAATCTGATCTTTCCGAGGGCTGGGCTGGGCTGAAGCCAGGAGGCAGGAGCTTCCTCTGGGTCTCCTACAAGGGTGCAGGGCTCCAAGCCATTGGGCCATTCTCTGCTGCTTTCCCAGGTGCATTAGCAGGGACCTGGATTGGAAGTGAAGCAGCTGAGGCTCCAGCCAGCTTCCGTATGAACTTAACCTGCTACACCACAGCACCTGTCCCCATGAACCTCACTGATTTCATTAACCAGCCAAAGCAGCAGTGACCCTTAGGTTGAATCATATGAAATAATTGGTCTCATCGGAACAGTCACATTCTCTCAGGTATCACTGATGATATCAGGAAACCAAGAGGGGACTTCAAAGAGTTTGTGGAGGGGCTGGTGCTGTGATGTAGTAGGTTAAGCCTCCATCTGTAGCGCCAGAATCCCATATGGATGCTGGTGTGTGTCTCGTTGCTCCCGTTCTGATCCAGCTCTCTGCTGTGGCCTAGGAAAGCAGTGGAGGATGCCCAAACACTTGGCCCCCTGCACCCGCGTGGGAGACCCAGAAGCTCCTGTCTTTGGATCAGCACAGCTCCAGCCATTGCGGCCATTTGGGGAGTAAAAAGCAGACGGAAGACTTTCTTTCTCTCTCTCTGCCTCTCCAGTAAATAAATAAGTCTTTAAAAAAAGTTTGTGAAAAATGGAATTAAAAGATAAGCTTATTTTGGTGCAAAAATTTTTTTATAAATCCATGCATAGTTTTTGCCATAGTATGTACTTTCCATGAACTTTTTGAAAAGCCCTGCAATTTATATTATTCTCTGGTTCTGTGTCTAGGTGGTGATTTTTCCATTTCTCTTATTTAATGATTTTTAATATTTAAAACATTGTGAGGTTGCTTCTGGGTGGGACAGAGGCATGAAGGTACTTCCTGGGGTGACAAACGCCATGCATGTCTATTTTTTTTTTTTAAAGATCTATTTATTTATTGAAAGACAGAGTTACAGGCAGAAGCAGAGACAGACAGAGATCTTCCATCTGCTGGTTCACTCCCCAGATGGCCACAGCAGCTAGAGCTGAGCCGATTTAAAGCCAGGAGCCTGGAGCTTCTTCTGGGTCTCCCACATGGGTGCAAGAGCCCAAGAACTTGAGCCATCTTCTGCTGCTTTCCAAGGCGCATTAGCAGGGAGCTGGACTGGAAGTGGAGCAGCTGGAACTTGGGCCATATGGGATGCCGGTGCTTCAGGCAACATTTTTACCCACTATGCCACAGTGCTGGCCCCACCATGCATGTCTTGATTGGAAGGATGGGACTCAGGCCTATTCATTTGCCCAAATTCAATCCTTACCTTTACAGCTGAGTATTTTACTGTATGTAAATTAGACCTCAGTAAAATAATCACAAGAAATGTTGGAAGGCTTGCTTTTAAAGATCAGAACAATGGGAACTGATGAGAATTGTGTTGTAGTAATTATCATGCATTTGCTTTGACCCTGAGAACCTAATGTATAAATAAATTTCTTTAAAAATGAATATTTCTGGGTAATGGAGTATAAGATAGAGAAAAGGGAATTTTTTATCTTTAAGAAGTTTTTTACTTTAGAAGATTTTTTTAATAAAAAGTTACTGACCTGCAAAAAAAAAAAAAAAAAAAAGAAAAGAAAACTTTAAATAAAACAGCACAGGAAGAGACAAAAAAAGATTCGAAAAGAATTTAAGACATGAAACAGACTGAAATTTTCTTCTTTAGTTTTACCTCTGGTTAAAAAAAATAAAGTTTTCCATCTGGATTCCAATTACACTTACTAAATAAAACATACTCTGGAACAAATTTACAAACATGAGACACGCACTACATAATGTATGGCGAGACGTCAAGGCTCAGAGGTAAAGACGTTCGACCAACAGACACATCTGACTTCAAAAGAGCTCTCTGAGGACGAAGTCCCACTTGAAAAGTGAGAATGATTGCAACTCTTCTTTAAACGCCAGACTAATGAGAATCTTCCCGAAGGCTGGCGAGCGTGGAACGCTTTGATTCCAGTGTCTGTTGAAGTCTTGCTGTGGGGTTGCTCGGTGATGAGCAGGCAGGGAGAAGGCCCAGGGATGTGGGTGCATGGGAAGGTTTCATTTCCAAATTATCCCCTGCCCTTTATAAATTCAGGACAAAACACACCAACGGGGCGGGGCCAGTCCTCTGCTGGATCTAGCAGTGCCGAAACCCACGAGAGACCCTACGCAGCAAGCAAACCGTTCTCTCCTCTCTCCTTGTGGGGCTCCTCCAGGAGGACGACTCACGGCTCCGTACAGACTGTCCATGCCCCGTTCCCCAGCAGCTGCTAATCACAGCCACGAGAGGCAGTCACCGCTCTGAAATGCTAGAACTGTGACAGCACACGCACTGGTCCGCAGAGGTCTACGGCCTTGGGCCAGCAGGGGGATGCAGAAACAGGAGGCAGAGGCAGGGTCGGCCAAGCGGTCCCACTAGAAGCGGACAGGTTGTCCGGCTTGCGTCTTGGCTCTTACCAGCACGGTGATCCCTTGCTCCTTGCACAGCATGGCCACAGCTCCCAGAAAGATACTTAGCAACACCCAGAACGTAGAAGAATGTGTTCCCTCTTTGCTGCCTGCCACGTAAGAGAAAGGATAAACACAAGTGAGGTGATGCAGCGCCGTCTTGTTAGCATCAGGACCTAAATTTCTAAGCACGCGGTGTAAACAGCCACAGATTAAAGCCAGGGTCTGGATTTCGGACAGCACTTCTCTGTGGGTGAGTGGGCATGTCTGCACTTGTGGGTGCACAGCACCCTTTAAAAGAGACACACAGCCCCCTCTCAAGGCTGTGCCAAGCAGGTGCCCAGAGCCACTGGCAGGCACCATGATGAAGCCCTGGCCACAAACATGCCCAACCTAAAGTTCCATGGGGAAGTTTCTTCGTCCCAACCTATCACCTAGCAGACCTTTCTAACAAGTCACAGTGAGAACTCCCGTGGAGACTGCAACCAACCATCTGCTTTCAAGACAGCACCGATGCCTGCTGTCACGACAAGGACCCAGGAGTGCCTGAGCAGCCTGACTCTCTACTGCTCCCATCTCATAGCCCTGGTGGCTCAGGACAGTCTGCTTTGCTGCTGGTGCAGGACGGCTCCCAACCCATTAAAGGATGCATGATGCCTGGGGAGGGCTGGCACCCACTTAGCACCTGGGCCTCGTAGAGGCATGGGTCAAACTGGGTGAGTCTCCACAGGAGCTCTGAACCTTGCAGGACCCATGGCCCCTGTAAGAAGCTCAAGTGGGCAGCACGTAAGGAATGACTGCTAGCCCCTACGTAGCCCAGGGAAGCTGGGTCCAGGGGGTGGCGTGCGCATTCTGGTATGAAGTAGGGGCAAAGGCAGACCTTCCTGGAGGATCCAATCATTAGCTTGAACAAGGTACCTATGAGTCTTGGCCCAGTTCCATTTAAACCACACTTAGGGTCTGATTTCCAGCACACCATTATTTATGATAACACTGGGCAGGCAAGTTATCCCCAGTCTCAATGGCTTAAATCTATAAAATAAGGGCATCGTAACAACCCTTGGGACATACTCGAGAGGAAAAAATTATGGAACTGGTGCTCTGGTGTGGTTTCTGCCTGCAGTGCCAGCATCCCGTATGAGCGCTGGTTCGAGTCCCGGCTGCTGCATTTCCAATCCAGCTCCCTGCTAATGCATCTGGGAAAGCAGCAGAAGATGGCCAAAGTGCGTGGGCCCCTGCATTTATGTGGGAGACCTGGAGGAAGCTCCAGGCTCCTGGCTTCGGATCAGCCCAGATCCGGCTGTTGCGGCCACTTGGGGGAGTGAAACAGCGAATGGAAGACCTTTCTCCTCCCCCTCCCCCGTAATTCTGCCTTTCAAATAAATAAATATTAAAAAAAAATTATACAGAACTCCTGGGTGTGTTAAAAATTACATGAACAAGTTTGTAAATGCCCAAAGCATCTCTGGAAAACACACCAGAAACCAGCTAAGCAGAAAGACTGGGTTGGGGAGGAAGGCAGTCTTATTTTGCACTGTATAACTTCTGGTACTTTTATGTTTCCTTGGCCATATGCATGTATGAAAAACTAGGTGTTTTAAAAAATCACCTGGTACAGAGCCAGGAGCAAAGGAGGGACTCAGCAGACAAACACTGCGTGTGATTCAGCCGCACTCCCTCAGCCGAGGGCAGCTGGGACTCTCCACGGGGCTTCGATGTGGCAGTCAAGGGGGGACGGCTGAGTCACCTTGTCACGAAACGCACCGGGCACACCGGCAGTGTCGAGGGTGCACTCAGGTTCGCCTCGAACTGCTTGGTTGTGTGTGAGACAGGCAGACCCTGAACAAAGGGACAAAGGCTCTAGATACTCAACAAGCAGTCAGCAAAGTCCCAGGAGAAGGCTCTCTGTCGCCCCAGCAGCCAGTGGGGTCTGGTCTGGGGGTAGGGTGGCCTTCCTCTCACACATTCTACATGGGGCCTGAGCCCTGTGCAGGTCACAAAGCCTGGAACCAACAGACAGCCTGAATGCGAAACAAAGCACCAGCAGAACTCACCCTGGATGGGTCCCACACCTGCTCTTACTCTGCAGAGGTCTCCAGGGCCTTGCTAATGTGGCCACCTGGCACCTCTAGTTTCTCCAGGTTTCTGTTCCAAGCCAGGAGCACATTCTCCCCGTGTTCTGCTTCCTCTGTTCACTTAGGCTAGAATGCTGGTGGCAAAACCCTACCCACTCGGGGAGCTGTCAAAGGCCAATGATGCTGGGACTGGCAGCGCTGTCCTCCAGGCAGTCTCCCTCCCCTACTAAGTGAATTCTAGCTGCAGCTCCCCACTGCCCAAAACCAGTGGGACTCACAGGGTGGGGTCCAGACACCAGCGCCTGGATCTGGACAGAAACAGACTCAGGGCCCACCTAAGGGTAGGAACCTGCCACGGATCTTTCTCACCAGCTCTCTGGGAGACTCTGGGGCTCCCTAACGGTTGACAGCACCACTCTCCATGGCGCACGGCCGGCTGACGGGAGCAAACACCCACGATACAGCCTAGACCCATAGCTGTACCTGCCCCGACTCTGCCAAAGCAACCATGCTCCCGAGTGAAGTCACTGCCAGCTACTGATAGGGATGCAAAGTGCTTCCACAGCCCCAGGTCCCACTGCGCAGTGACAGTGCGTCTCACAGAATGTGGCCTGTGATGGCCTGCAAGGATGGAAATGCGGGAATCCCTTTCAAAATGCCCAGCAGGGGGCCACCTGGCCTCAACAAGTGTTTATTTACATAAATGGAACAAATGTCATGCTTCTCATACAGTTTCAAGAACATAATGACACCTGCCACCCCATTCTCCCTCCCTTCCTCACTCCCACTCTTCCTCCTACTTCCTTTCTTATTTTTCTTTTAATTTTTGCAATGATATACTTTTTTTTTCTTTAAGAACAAGTTTTATCATGAATTGAAGAAGCACCTAAGGAAACAAGCTGGGCATTTTGGCTTATCCAGAACTTATGAGACATAAGAATATCCTCCTCTTAATACACTAAAACGAAGTATATATCTGAGAACAAGTTTTATTATTAACTCTCACAATACAGCTCTTTGAGGACAGAGGTCCTGCATGGAAAGTTAGTGCCCAGTGGCTCCTGTTGTTAATTTAACAATTAGCACACTTATGAATGACATCAGTGATCACCTGAGGCTCTTGACATGAGCTGCTTATGCTAATAGAAGCCTTTGGAGTCCACACACTCCCAGTATTTAGACAAGACCATAAGCAAAGTGAAAGTTCTCTTCTCCCTTCAGAGAAAAGTAAATCCTTCTTTGGTGACCACTTCTTTCCACTGGGGTCTCACCCACAGAGGTCTTTCATGTAGGAAACTTTTTGCTATGGTGTCTTGGCTTTCCATGCCTGAAATGCTCTCGTGGGCTTTTCAGCCAGACCAGAATGCCTTAAAGGCTGATTCTGAGGTCAGAGTGCTACTTTAAGCCATTGTCATGCTATGTGGACTGCTTCCCATGTTGGAGCACTCATGCCTTTTTAATTCTATCTGTAACTTTTCATAACACAGTCCACTCTATTTTTTAAGCTCTGGGTTGTCAGAATATTCTTCTGGAAGTATGCTGAGCCCAAGTCTGCTTCCCTCAACTTCAAGTCTTAACTCCAAGTTCCTCAGGTGGGACAGAACCTGGAAGTCAGGTTCTCACTACACACACTGTGTTTGACCAAGAAATCAAGGACTGTGTTACTTGCAGAAATTAGTTACACTACATGAGAGTACTATAAAAAGTTCATGGAAAATGGAATTAAACGTTTATTTTGTGGCCAAAAATAGAAATTCACCTAGTTCCCCCCCCCATAATATGCATTTTCCACAAAACGCATGGATTCCAAAACATTTTTTGGCACCAAAACAAACATATCTTTTAATTCCGTTTCCCATGAACCCTCATTCCTATGTAATACCAAGAGGCCACAGTTACAAGCCACAACAATGATAAAAAGATTGTCAAATTCAGCATGATCCCAATTTGAGCACTTTCAGATTGACTGGAACTTACTACCCCATCTGGGTGCTTGCTAGCACTCATCAGCACACAAGCGATGGTAGGCAACAAAGCCTTAAAGCACACATGGCCAACATAACCCTCTGGCTGGGACATTCCCAGATTCCCTCAAAGAGATGACTTAGGCAAAGAGCCCCACAGGTTTTAGGGGAGCAAAGGGTCCCACTGATGAAACCTAAGGGGACCACAGCTCACAACGCACCAGATGAGGGCATGGGAGCATTTTGCACAGGACAGCAGTGGCCTCAGCGTCCAGATCATGTCGCCCCTCCTGAGTCAGGGTAAGGCCACTTTCGGGATTTTCACACATTAGTAGTTTTTTTTTTGTAAACAGAAGGCTTTACTGGTTAATGACCCTGTTAATCACAGTGGTTTCTTATCTATGAGTAAATGGGGTAGAAGACACCCCTCTCCCCTCCCCCACAGTTGGCAGCCTCATCAGGCCTGCTGAGACACGGTGGTTAGCCTCAGTCCATTGTTTCCATGGCCACTGGGCACTCAGCTCTGTAGTGCACACAAACCAAGGGACTCCCCACTGCCAACCTGTTACCCAAACTTTCTCACTCTCACAGCTCATGTCTGCACTATTTGACTAAACAAAATATGATTTCCTGATGTGTGGGTCCCTGTTCTTAATTTGAAAAACAAGACTCAGACAAACAGAATTCGCTTACATTTCACTTGGCTGTCACATAGCTCAACTTCCCCCACCAGGAACCTGGGGTCTTTGATAGGAAGAAATCCCCAGTTCCTCCATTAAAATGCTCTCAAAGGCACTCTGTTAACTCAAACTTAAATTACTATGCAGACGTGAAAGGGACAGCCTCAAGTTCCACTCGTCTAAAATTTAAAGTGGTGCTCTTCTTGGATGGCTAAGCCAGACACACACACACAGCCTTCAGAGGCACTGGGTTTCTCCCTAATGGCACCCCTTGATCGTACCACACCTCTCACACCTCCAATTCCCTCCTCCTCTTGAAAGCTTCTGCTTGTTAATTTCCGGCTTTGCTTCAAACACACCCAGTGTGAACACACAGGAAAGATAATGCCAT